CTCATGAATATCAGCTGTGACTTGACTTGCCTCATGACGATCAACTGTGATTTGACTTGATTCATGACGATCAGCTGTGACTTGACTTGACTCATGAATATCAGCTGTGACTTGACTTGCCTCATGACGATCAACTGTGACTTGATTCATGACGATCAACTGTGACTTGACTTGACTCATGAATATCAGCTGTGACTTGACTTGATTCATGACGATCAGCTGTGACTTGACTTGACTCATGAGGAACAACTGTGACTTGATTTGACTCAGGATTGGCAGCTGTGACATAACATGGTGCTGTTGTGTCCATCATTTTGTGAGTGTGCTCTAGTGTGGCCGCCATTACACGAGTGAGTGCGAGGTCGTGTTCCTCCGGGACACCCACAGTGAACGTAGAACCAACAGTCAACAAAGCATAGTCCATAAAATCACTTAGAGATGAACGGGGACTCTCACATATTAGTCACGATTTGAGCGGCTGGTTAATGCCGTCACAAAAGAAGTCTATCAGCACACAGTTCGGCAGATCAGAGAAACATGCAAGATCTAAATACTCTTGAATATAGCTTTCGAGCGATCGGGTGCCCTGCTCGAGAGCTAATAACAGTCTTGTGGTGTCCATACCTGGCCAGTATCATTCAGGAAAGCCGCTGGATCCTCGTGTGGCCGTGTATTCTGTTACGGAGGGAACACAGGAAGCGTGCGGATCCATCAATAAATAATATTGAAAATTACTATATTTTAACCGCACATTAACTCATTTGAGCTTAGTAATTAGTACTGTACTAGCTTACATTTTATTTACCTATTACACTAGTCCCTTTACAGTTACTGCTATCATAAAAATACACTTATATGTAGGTTTAAAATTCTACAAAAGACATTTAATGTCCAACAACAAATATTTTAGCAAAATATATATTTTACTCGAATTATTGCGCTCCTATTCGATTGCGCTCTGTTTGTCTGAGCAGTGCTCGTTTACTCGCGTCAGCCTCGCCCACTCCTGACAGCAAAATGGATATGTTTGCGTGACTTTCTGACATTTACAGATGAAAAAATATATCTGTGACAAGACACTAGGCTCGGTAATGCAGCTATCGCTAGATGAGTGATAAACGCAGAACAATACACGGCGATCTGAACAGGAACTGAGAGAGTGTTAAATAGAGTGTGTAATGGCTCTCAGGTGAGCGTGTGATTACTGACGGCTGTGTGATCAGTGAATTCAGCTGTGTAAGTGCAATGGATGATGGGAACTGTGATGAGTGACATGTAACAGTCTGTGTAGTGTGAGAGTAAATGTAATGGTAGAATGACCTCTAGTGGCAATCGGCCGGAAGGCCACGGACCGGATTTGTGACACAAGGTTTGGTAACACTTTATTTTGATAGTTCATCTGTTGACACAACTAGTTATCAGTAGTCATTCAGTAGCATGTCAACAGAGAAATCAATCTACATATAAAATATTGGTCACTTTCTAAACAATAAAAGTATAGTGCATCCACTAGTAATTATATATAAATTAAACCCTGGCTCGTTGGCTCTCCGTCTCCGCCTCGGGCTCCACCACCACCTGCTCCACCGCTGTCAGTCAGCCCCCTGGAGTCGTCAGCCCTTCCTCCACCATGGCTCCTCCCTCTGTCGGCTCCACCATGGGCTGGGTCCCGCCTGGCTCCTCCTGCTCCAAGTCCCTCCTGTCTTCTCTCTGGCTCCTCTTGTTTCCTCCATGGCTCCTCCCTCCGTCGTCTCCACCCTGGACCCTCCTCCCGGGAGTCCGTCCCCCTCCTGAACCTCCACCTGGGTTGTCCGCCTGCCTTACTGCCAGCCCTTTCGCCACCCCCCTGTCACCATCCCACATCCACTCCTTTGTCCTCCTCCTAAGTCCCCCTCCATACCTCCCTTTGTCTCTGCAACGCAAGGTCGCGCCTTTCGGGAGGGGGCGAACTGTCAAACCCCAGGACTGTTTTGTTGCGTTTTCCTTCCCCATGTGTTCTGTGACCTAGTTTTCCATCTGAGTGTATCATTTGGTTCAGGTGTGTCTCGTTAATTCATTTGCCAATGTATTTAGTTCCAGTCTGTTCCTGTGTTCCCTCGTCCAGTGTTAAAGTTAACGTGTTGCATGTGTTACCTGCCTGCCTTCTGTGGATTACCTTCTGTGTGGATTAATAATACTGTTTATGTTCATCATCTTCTTCAAGCGTTCTCTATACACCGCGCACCGTGACAGTTATGCTGTATAAATGTTATAATTTATTTATTTAATCATTCACCAATGAATGTCATAATTCCAGCTTCATTAAGCAATGGTGCCAGCTGAGTTTCACATGTGACTGGGTTTTAAGGCTACAGTGGTAATAAGCATTTTGGTACTGTAGTATCCATTTGTGTTGTAAATGTATGAAATAAACTTTTATTTCTAAATGACACAGCCACTGTAGAAGTTTTGCTGCTTTTACTTAACTTAGCTACTTTCAAGCTATAAATAAAGTTTCAGTATTTACAACCATATTTATACAAAAAAGTCTCTCTAGACATTTTAGCAAATACAATTAAATAAAAATCTGTGTTGAGCTGTCACCTCATGGTGAAAGTACTTATTCAGTTACTTTTAAAATGCTCAACAAAACATGCATCATATGACAAACATCAGTTGCATAATTCATGTCATTCAGGAGCTGGGTCACGGGTGTCAAAGTCTTCTCTTGATTGTGGAGCACACACAATCATCAACTCAGAATACTTCTGTCTTATTTTTTATATTTCCTGGTAACAGTGGCCCCTCCTAATCACCTGAGCCCTATAAAAAGCAATGTGCGACTACAGAGCAAAGTGACTACACAGGGCAAACTGAAGAGAGGATTTTTTTTTCTGGTAAAACAAATTATATACTTACATTACTCCTGACAACCTTTATACAAATACCTATATTTGCATTATGTCTGGATCTTATTGTTGTTGTTTAAACTAAATTATATTAATGAATGGATTTCCTTTATTTGGTTATCATCTATAACGGCTGGTTGGACACTTGATTATTTATTTATATAGTCTTTGGAAAAGAGCATCTGCTAAATGCCTTAAATGTATATCAATTTTAACAAGCTATTTTTCACAGTACCTTTTCTATTTTCAAGATCTAAGAAGGTTGTTCTAGTTGATGACAATAATTCTACCAATTGTAATAGCTACTATGACATAACTATATTTATAACAAATATAATGAATATATAATTTTCAATTTTGTACATCGAAAATCTATTTTATAATAATTCTTTACATGTTTTGATGTACTATGATTTTTGTATATGTCAATTTCAGATTTAGAAGCAAGAATGTCCCAAACAGTCTTACCCGTGAACTCTTCAACACTCGTCATCCAGATTCAACCACCAACACAAACAACACCAGCTGGGACTGGGACAAATGCTCCTGTGCCTGTTTATGTCCAACAGGTAGCAGGAGTTTCTCCTCTTCATGGACTACAGGCATTTCTGAAAGGCCAACCAAAAGCCCTTGGGGTGAGACATTTTTCATAGATCCATATTATTGATTTTTTCCCCCCATTTGTGTATGTCAGCGTGAAGTAAGAAAATCAGAACATTAATAAATGATAGAAGAAGAAAAAAAAGCAGAGTTGTAAACATTAAAGCATACATAGTTTTTATTGCATAATGTGACTTATTGCCTTGGTGACAATACAATATAAGATGACAAAGACCAATTTAAGATAGCATTTACAGAGTTAATTTACAGTTTTGTGACTGGTAAACTGTAAATTATAAAAAGTGAAAGACAAAGAATGTTTTAAAGGTTGCAAACTAACAACAGATCGGCAACAGGGGGGTCACACATTACACAGTGTCTAGATCGCACAGAAGTATTGAAAAGCCATGTTTCACAACGAAACAAGTGAGAACTGAAACGGGAAATAATGTGAGATCACACAAGAGATTGGCGTTCTCGCACAAGAATGGATTTATTTCTGTAAAAATGGTAGCCTACAAAAAGCTTTGGCATTTACCTGCGATTTCCACAAAACTGTTGGCAATTGAAAATCAGGGCTAAAATCGTCTAGTATGAAGCCAGCATTTATTGTTGAGGACTATTGCATCTTTGAGCATACATTCAGTATGACTAAAATACTTAAGTACTCCTAAAAAGTATTTTACTCAAGTTGTATTGGAATTGGTGACTTCTCATTTGTAATGGAGTAAGGAATCTGTACTTTTACTAAAGTATACTTTTTTAGGTACTCTTCACACCTCTATCAGTATGGGAATTCATACATTGAGAATTCCACGGCATACATTCAGTATGACTAAAATACTTAAGTACTCCTAAAAAGTATTTTACTCAAGTCGTATTGGAATTGGTGACTTCTCATTTGTAATGGAGTAAGGAATCTGTACTTTTACTAAAGTATACTTTTTAGGTACTCTTCACACCTCTATCAGTATGAGAATTCATACATTGAGAATTCCACACTTGTTGAATATATTTTTGGGGTATTTTTCTTCTGCAATCATAAGTCCATAACTACAGATGCTATGAATTTAAACTGTAGATTTTGTTTTGATCTCCAAAATTTGAAACTGTTTTACTTTATCATTTTTCTTGTTCCTCACAGACTGTCCAGATTATGATTGCTCTGATGACTTTCCTGCTTGGGATCGTGTCTACAGTTCATGCAGACTCCATCTTTGTCTTTAGTGGTATTCCTTACTGGGGGTCGCTCATCGTAAGAAACAATTACAATTAAGTGATATGTCTTTTATAATTCAAGCTAAATTTTTCAACAGAAGCCTCAATTTTGGTCTTTCTCTCTCTTCTCAGTACATTATTGCAGGTTCACTCTGCATTGCTGCCGAAAACAAATGTAATTCACCCTCCGGTTTGTGTTTGGTATGTACTGTACATAACACTTGTTACTTTTAGGGGTCCAAGCTGCCTGATATAGACAGGTTGCATTGTAATAATATGATTAGCATTTTGGAGTAATTGATATAAACAATATTTTAACCCCCTTGAATCATTAAGTGTATTTCTTATCATTTAATTTCCAGCTATAAAAATTCTGCCATTTTTCATACTCCTCCTAGGCTGTTGGTCCAGTCTTCACTAAATTTTGCACATAGCAGCTAGGGATGTTGCTAGAAAAAAATTTATCTAATTGTTTTAGATTAAATTAATCACTGTGATGATATAAGTGAATTAATCAGTCTGTCAGAGCTCATTTTATCTCCTAAGCCCAACACCCAAACGTATTGAAACAATACACATAGACTACAGGATATTTTGAGAATTCTTACCAAAATGCATCAAAATTGCACCTGTAGGGGTGCAACTGAAATTCCTTGTAACATAACACTAATTTGACTAATTTGACTTGTCCCTTTTGACACCAGCGTATTTACTATAACCTAAACCAGCGGTTCTTAATCCAATGTATGTAATGTATGCAATCATACGTTACGTACAGTTTGTCTGAGCCGTGCATTCATAGGAACTGTGAGCCTTTATGCAGATTTGATGCATCACAGGAGATCACTTCTCAATCTCAAAATACTTTTATAGTGCACAATTAATTTAAACACCGTCAGTAATAGGTGTGTTCGACTTCATGCAGTGCTGCACAGACCGAACGGCAACTGACTTAAAGTAGTACATTACATGCCGGTTAGTCATTTAAATTTTATTGAGACAGCGCCGACCCAAGTCACTGTGACGTATAGCATCAAAGTATTGCGAGAGTAACTGCAGGAGCGCTAATGACGACAGCCGTTTCACTGTTGGATCGAATTCATCACATGACAACAATGATGCGTGTTTCGGTTTATTCTGACACCTTCAGTTCATATAACGGCAGAATCTCTTTTACTGTAGTCGTGATGTTATATTGAGCCACTTTTATCAAAAACACTGATAAAAGTATATTATAAATCCAATTTATTTTTATTTAAATAGTATGTTTATGTTTAACTTAATTCTTGGACAGATGGCGTTGTATTAAGCAGTATATAAAAAAAAGTGTTTCTGTTGTTTCATTAAAAAGTTTCTGAAATGTCAGTGTATTTAAAAAATATTGCATTTTGTTCACTTCATCTGTGACAAGAGTGATCAAACACCACACAAGCATCACTACCGGGAGCAGAAAGTGTCCGACTTGATGTATCCGCTTTTAATTCTGCCCCCCGACTGCAAGTGGCAAATCTCGCCAATCAGTCTGTGCAGCGCCACATGAAGTCGAACACACCTTATGTCTTAAGATGGTTCTTATGGACTGAGAAAATTTAATGCTGTCACGTATTACAAATACACTTCAAAATTAAATGAATTGCAAATACTTTTGAAAAATGCTAATCTTGTACAAATACTAGAAATGATGAAAAATACTTGGAAATTGTTTAAAAAATGGTTACACTTTATATATATTGGAACATTTATGACATTTTGCTTGCTTGGCTGTTTCCTTGATCTTATGTCGTCATTATGTTGATGTCTTCTCCGCCAGCCAAAGCATTGCTGATCATGGTTTTCTACTATCCATATATCTGCCCTTTCCAATGAACATGACAACACAGAGTAATCTCAGACAACTTAATCCAGATATTTTAATCACATCCACTAACTTGTTTGAAGAACCAATTTAGCCAGAGATCAGTTATCAGGATTAAAAGATCTGGCATCTATCAAATCAGGTGTGTTAAACAAGAGAGACATGCAAAATATGCATATCGGGGTTGCAAGGACCAGGTTTAAGCTGACCTAAACTATCAGTGAAGATTGATTGGACTGTAAAGAAAACACATTATTTTTGAAAAGACATATTTCAATTGTATCATTTAATAATCTACATAAGCCATTGGTGCTTGAACCCGATGATTGCTGCTTGCGTTTATTTATTTCAAGTAGTGTATTTTTTATCACACGCAATACATTTTTCTATCTACGTTAACATGATATGATAACAAAATGTGTTATAGTTTTTCCAAATTCGTTAATGTGTTTTATGTTTTCTTTTTTTTTTCTGCCTATAGGTGAGAGGTTCACTCGGAATGAACATTTTTAGTGCTTTAACCGCAGTCAGTGCCCTTATTATAATTTCAGTGGATTTGGCTATAGGACCAATGTACTACAGTTACTGCAATGATTATGGGTGTTCTGATTTTGATGGAAGGTATGAGGTATGTCACCAAATTTTGCATTCACATTTATTTAGTAATTGCAATAAGATGACTGTCTGGTCAGTACACCTGTCAAAAGTCAATCCTTAATCCACAATCATCTCTCCAGTCTTTTCCCAATATTTCAGAAATATCTTATAGATTTCTTACTATTAGTGATCATGTATAATGCAAGGCGGCATTGACATTATACATTTGTGTTATTATTATTTGTTGAATTTCCTCTCAGACCCTCTTCTGGGGAATCGGTGGTGTATTGCTGATATTCACCTTGCTTCAGTTTATCCTCTCCATATATCTGTCAGCATTTGCCTGTAAAGTTTCCTGTTGCTGTTGTCCTCCTCCACAGGTGAGTAATGCATCAAATCGGGTTCACAAACTTTTTTGTCAGCTGAAACTCAGATATGCATATAAAATGGAAATAGTTACTTGAGGATGTTCATACTTGGGTTCACACTTTACAAGAACCAACAAACACTACAGGTTACATTACATTACAATTTTTCACTTTCAAATGTTTAAACCCTCAAGCTTTTAACATGTAAAATGATTGAGCTTTAGTCTTCTGTCCCCAAAAACATTGGAAATTATGTGAATGTCAATAAAGTGAACTTAGCACACGTTGTGTTTCCAAAGGTTAAATTCGCAGCACTTGCAGAAAAGAGTTTGTGAGAAGCAGCATTTACTGCCGATTTGTACATGATGACAGTACAACTCTTCATTCATTGCTACCATTTGGTGGATTTTATGTCCCCATGAAACAATACTAGGGGTTTGATGACACTTAGCTCAAGAGATGATATTGAATAATGAGCATATGTAATAAAATAACAATATCCAAGCACTGTAAAAGGCATTGCCACAAACTCACCTGACTGGTTTCTCTCCTATATGATTTCACATCAGTCACTTGAGACCTTATAACTGCACATGAGCTTCTAACTTCTGATTGAAGCTGTGTGTGACCTTCTAACTGAACTCCTTTCCTCAACTTTCCATCTAATTAATTACATGATGCACCGATTAATTAATCTAATTAATTACACATCAGTTTTGGCTGAGAAATGATGCCCCCACTAAAAGATAATTTAAAGTAATCGCTGTGTTAAATGACTAAAGCATTGAATAGACACTACAAAAAGATTTGTTTGATATTTCAAAAAATATATATTTTTAATATTCAATATTGCATAAATAATGATTATAAATGGTTATTAATGTTACTCTAAATATGAAACTAAAACTTTCAGTAGGTCACAGCCTTAATGAGTAAATCTTTCAGTCATTCATTTAACTGATTTGTTCAAATGGCTGATTCATTCACAAATTAAGTAAGTGACTGTTTTTATTAATGGCTCACAGAATCATTGACTCGCTTGTTTATTGAATTATTGTATAAAGTTTATATTACATTTGCAATCGTGCTGATATCTGACAGCTGTTCACCTTGACAAGAAATATTGTCATGTTTTAACATCACAAGATCTTGTCACACACCTAAACATCACTGAATATTTTACTGTATATACTGCTTAAAATGTTAAGCTTTAATACCACATGGTTTTACATACATAGATATACCCTATTAACTAATATTGATCAGTTCCTAAGAATACAAAAAAAAAAACTTTTTGAAGCACTTGACAAATTGCCATGTTCCCATTTCCCCCTTTCTCTTAAATCACATAAAATACCATTAAATCACATAAAATACCATTCACTGTGATACATGTTTTTATGTACAAAACCATTAATATAGTTTGTCACTCAAACTCCACTCCACCGTTACATTGGTGCTACTTGTCCTTTAAAATCTTAAGCATAATGCCTTAAATCACATTACTCGCTAGAAGTGACTATTTCATTGGCGAGAAAGCAACTTCAAAAACAAAGCATTAGTTTTTCTCTCTACTCCTAATTTTTGAAGACTAAAATATAACATGTCCACCCTGTTGTGTCAATTTACACTAGACAAGAAAGTGTATAATAAATAGATTTTATATATCTATTGATATTTTATGTTGACATTTTCCAAAATTTCATTTTAGAGCTAGTAATGGAGGCTTGAGCCATTTATATGCAGACATCGAAGTGTATGTAAATGACCTGAGTCTGTGGGTCTCTGTTTAGCAGCAGTGTCTGTACTAATCACAAAACCTGTAATATTAGAACTGTCTGTCAGTGTTATTACATTTATGGTATTTTACAGTAAGAAGACATAAAATGCTACATGTGGATTTTTCCAAAGGTGCCGTATGTTGCGCAAGTTTTACCTCCACTGCCCTGTGGTTTTAGGCCCTGTCATTTCCATGATCTTAACAGCTCAGAGGTAAAAGAAGCTTGAAACACCAGTTTTTAATTGAACAAAGTAAAATGGTACACAAAACAATAAAAACACAAAACATCATTATTTGAATTTAGTGTTGATTGTCCTTGTACTGGAAATGTGTAAAGCACTGAGTAATTGTTTCAATAATCATTATACAGCTAATCAAGGTTTTTTTTTTTTTTTTTTTTTTTGCAGATACCTGTTATCAGCAACCCTTCCATGCATCACCATCCTGCAGAAATTCCTCCAAGATACAGTGAAAGTAAATAAATATGAATAGTAAAAAACAAACAAAAAGGGGGTGGGTGGCTGGGGGTTGGGTCCTGGGTTCTGTGTGATGCTTTCATGGGGCACAGGGGTTTCCCATTGGTTTCCTGTCCCTTACCGCTAATGTCCTTTCATTAAAAGAAGAGATAATGAAAGCCAAAAAAAAAACAGTTGATCAGATAATTATATACATATATATATATATATATATATATATTTTTTTTTTAATTACATGTGTAACAGTAACTTTAAGACACTACTATTTCCTGATTTTCTTTTGTTAGTTAAGTCAAAGTTGTCTAATCATCAGTGAATCTGGGTAGATTGTTTTGAACAAGTAATTGTGTAATACTGTATAATCTGTAAGAATAAAGCATCCTGAATAAACAACAACAGCCTGGCAGGAGAATGCCAATCTCCTGGAGGACATTCATATAATTAAAACGCCATTAAACAGGAAAATGTGATTCTTAATCATGGGTGATCGACCCGTCTCATTAACTCTTCAATATAGCCTTCCTTTTTTCCTTAAAACATATTAAATACAGATACAGTAAAACTGTTTTAACAGAGATTATACTAGAACTACTAAGTTAGAACAAACAATTTTATATTGTTATCGTGTCTTTAACCCAAAGTGTCGTACATCTTCTGAGAACTGTCCTTATCTCATGAAGTGCCAAAATGTGACCTAAATACTCTGCTGAGAACTCAAGAAACATTAATTACAATATTTGCACCCTGGTAGACTAAAGCCCTGTACTGAACAGAGGTGAAACTGCTTCTAAAGCCGTGATGAAACGTCTCTGTTACATAAGGTAACCCTCGTTCCCTGAAGGAGGGAACGGAGACGTCATGTCGTGACCGACGAATTGGGATATCGCTTCGATAGCCCAATCTACTTCGAGTGTAAACTAAACGAGTCAATGCACATTGGCATGGAGTTATTGCATCCAGCTGCCGCTGATCACAGCGTGAGTATAAGGCAGCAGGTGCAATGCATACCAGGTTTTCGCTTCGGAGCCGAGCCGGCGACCCATTAAATACAGATACAGTAAAACTGTTTTAACAGAGATTATACTAGAACTACTAAGTTAGAACAAACAATTTTATATTGTTATCGTGTCTTTAACCCAAAGTGTCGTACATCTTCTGAGAACTGTCCTTATCTCATGAAGTGCCAAAATGTGACCTAAATACTCTGAGAACTCAAGAAACATTAATTACAATATTTGCACCCTGGTAGACTAAAGCCCTGTACTGAACAGAGGTGAAACTGCTTCTAAAGCCGTGATGAAACGTCTCTGTTACATAAGGTAACCCTCGTTCCCTGAAGGAGGGAACGGAGACGTCATGTCGTGACCGACGAATTGGGATATCGCTTCGATAGACCAATCTACTTCGAGTGTAAACTAAACGAGTCAATGCACATTGGCATGGAGTTATTGCATCCAGCTGCCGCTGATCACAGCGTGAGTATAAGGCAGCAGGTGCAATGCATACCAGGTTTTCGCTTCGGAGCCGAGCCGGCGACCCGGCCGCTCAGTGGTGGTACAGCAACCCTGGCAACGGGACGTGACGTCTCCGTTCCCTCCTTCAGGGAACGAGGGTTACCATACGTAACCGAGATGTTCCCTTTCAGTCGGTCACTACGAGTCACGTCGTGACCAACGAATTGGGCTCCCTACCAAAGCACCATGGTGCTGCCCCTTCCAGTGCCCTGTGCGAGCCGCCTGCGCCCCTATCTGGTGTAGGCCAGGGCTCGGGACAAGTAGTTCCACTCACCATTTTTCAAAGCACTACCTTACTAAGTGAGACTGGATAACACTGGGATAACATACCCACTCCACTTGGAACAGGGACGCTGCATTTCGGAAGCAAATACACATATAGCATCCGTTTAGGTGTATATGGAGAAATGGAGGTGATTGTAACCCTCTTGGAAAGGCAGAAGTCTGCCGGGGAAACACGGGCTCTATGGCTATACCGTGGGCTATACACATACGAGAACCGCTTAGGTCTCAATATGGAACCCAGCCTTCCACGGTTCCCGCGGATTCATCGTGAAGGCCCGGCGCCGGACGTTCCGCCGGACGTTCCGCTGCCGAGGGTGACGGAGGATCAAAACGGGGTCTACCGTAGGACACTCTTGAGCAGTTTTAGCAAGCTGACACTAACCGGGGCCTCTCGGCACCACTACCCGTTTGAGGTGAGAACACAGGAGGATACAGAATACGGAGGCTATAGAATCTAGCGATGTGTTGGGGGTCGCCCAGCCTGCAGCCCTACAAATATCTGTCAGCGAGGCGCCACGAGCCAACGCCCAGGAGGATGCAACACTTCTAGTTGAGTGAGCTCGCAGCCTGAATCCACAATCCAGTGGGCCATCCTCTGCTGAGTGGGCCATCTATAAAGAAGATGCGTTTCTGCGTCAACATCTTGAACGGTAGCCGATGAAGGGCCCGGTTCAAAATTCGCAGGTCCAAGATTGGCCGTAACCCACCACTTTCTTGGGTACAATGAAGTAAGGGCTGTAAAACCCCAACCTCATATCGGCTGGAGGGACCGGCTCTATCGCATCCTTCGCCAGTAGGACTGCGATCTCTGCCCGTAGAACAGGGGCATCAGCCGCCTTCACTGTAGTGAAGCAGATACCGCTGAACTTGGGCGGGCGCCGGGCGAACTGAATCGCACCAGCGGGACCCACAGCCGTACCCGCAGTGGGGCAGCGAGGTGGAACACAGGGACTCAGCTCAGGCGGCTTGTGAGCGGGCCGGAGAGGGATGAGAGTGTGGGGTGCAAGGCTCACCTGGTTCCACGGGTTGGCAGAGGGTGCGTGAGTAGGGCCTTTGTTGACGCTCTCGAACCGCCCACTGCTGCCGTCTGGCGAAGGAGGAGGATGAGTGACTACCCTTGCGAGTAGCGGAGCCTGGTTCGCAGCTCCGAGATGGCCATCTTAATGCCCAGACACGTGAGGCAGCGATCGTGACCATCACCCGGTGCCAGGTAACGACCGCACCCAGAAACGCACGGGTGAAACGGCATCCTTATAAGGACGATCCGTCGTATTTATAAAGACACACCCGTGTAGCTCTTTTAGAGAAATTTGCTCTTTTTTAAGAAATGCTCCTTTAGTGCTGAGGCGCACAGGGGAGATGGCCGCTTTGCAACACGACAGGGGGTAGTGCAGCCTGAAGTGCGCAACCCACTCAACACTGGAACGACCACCGCTGAAGCGCCATCCCGCCAACACAGAAAGCTTCCAAGAGCGTGCTGAACTCATAGTTCTCAAAATAAACAGAGCAGAACGATGTTGTCGCTCGGCTCCGAAGCGAAAAGCTGGTATGCATTGCACCTGCTGCCTTATTATACTCACGCTGTGATCAGCGGCAGCTGGATGCAATAATTGCATGCCAATGTGCATTGGCTCGTTTAGTTTACACTCGAAGTAGATTGGTCTATCGAAGCGATAACCCAATTCGTCGGTCACGACGTGACTCGTAGTGACCGACTGAAAGGGAACTGTGTTTACCTCAGTCAGGGCTTTTTGGGTGGGCATAAGAGTGGGAATAACTTGATTTTTTAATGACTTGATGTTTTAATAATGTATGTAGATTATTTAGTAATGTTACTTAACAGTAAAAGAGCATTTTGATTTGTGAGTATTGGAAGGGATAAACTGTTTTTAAATGCATTATCTCATAAAAGGGAAGGTATTGTGTAGTGAAATGTCAGGTTTTATGTTCTGGTAGAAGTGGCTAGTTTTATCACCACTCCTAACCCCCTGAGCTCCACCTGCTTCTTTCTGGGAAACAGCATCAGCAATTACAGTTATGCCATAAAATATGCCTTATCTCATTTCAGACAAGTAACCTATTAACAACAGGGGGGAAAAGTGCAAAACGACCTGAGGACTGGATTTTTTCCCCCCTGGAAAACAATATTATGTACTTAAAAATGCAGACAAAAAGCAGTAGTCATCAATTGTGGTTTGTTTAGTTTTGTTTTAAATTAAAATTTTATTAATGAATGGTTTTGGTTATAAGTGGATTTATAAGGGCTGGTACAGTGCTTTTTTAAATGTCTTTGAAAAATAGCATCTATTAAATAATGTAAATGTAAATAGATCCAGCTAAACAATCTGTTTGGAATACAGTATTTGTGAAGATTCTCTATTGAGAAGGGGTCTAATGAGGGTGAGGGTCTAATAGAATCATCCTAGCATCCAGCTCACAACATTAACTGTACTCATTTATAATATTGTGTTAAACAGTCTAAATACCACATTTCTGAAAATAAGATAGAACAAGTTAAAGTGTAGTATTCTAAGTTAATTAATATTTTTTTTAGTTATTTAACAAGTCTATTTTATAATCATATCCTTTGCATGTCTTGATTCAATATGAGGTCAATTTCAGATTTATTAACCTGACTCAAGAATGTCAAACATGTCACATCCTTTGAACTTGCTATTCAGTTTCATCCCTCTATTCAAACAACATTGGTGCTCCTGTGCCTGTTAATATACAAGTGGTGGGAGTTTCAACTCTGCATGGACAGACACTTTTAAACAGTCAGCCAAAAGCCGTTGGGGTATGGAAATAGAATTGTTGCATAATTAAATCTCAGAGTTTCACAAACATGAATTAAATTCTCAAAACAAATAAAATGAGATTTCAAATTAAAAAAACATTCACAAATATCTTCTTCTGTCACAAACACAACTTTGGCTGGCATTCATTTGTGAATCGCATTCTGCACATTTGTAGATCTCTGCACACATTTGTGGATCACTACCTGTTGTGAATGGCTTTCCGTACATCTGTTGATCGCTGCGCGCATTTCTAGATTTTTAAATGTTTCTAGACCCACTGTCTACTCAAGCCACTCAGATAACAGCAACACTTCACTGACCAATCGTAGCATGTTTCCGCTATAGCCAATCACGTTTTGTTTTACAATCAGGATGGTCTCTTTCTGAAATAACTTCATTCATCTGCACAGGCTCAAATAGGAAATATAAGTAACATAAATTTGGTATAGTAAAAGATTATTAAAATTGGATTTCGTTAAACCATTAGACTGTGTATCAAGCCAAGCCACAGTATTATACTTTACATGCCTTTGAAAATGCCAGAGAAACAGCATTTCAAATCACGGCTATGGGAACAATGCTACATTGGACGAGGAATTCACATGTGATAAATGCAGGGAAATAGTTAGGCTGACAGAGAAGATTTCAGAATTAGAGACACGCATCCAAACTTTAATTGAGGACAGTAAGAATGTGAGGGCTGAGTGGCTTTGGATGCGACTAGCTCAGGGAGTCCTGTACATTGTTCGGTTCCGGTTACAGAGCCTCTGCAGCAGGGCAACTGGGTGACTATGAGGCGGCATAGTCACGGGTCAAAACACCGCTCTTCCATTCTGATCAAAATATCAAACAGGTTTTCCCCACTCAGTGATGCACTCACTGAGAAACCTGATCAAAGTGAACGTAAATTCAGTAAGATTACTCACGCCGGCGCTAATGATGTTCGACTTCGCCAGTCGGAGATCATTAAAAATAACATTAAAGAGGTGTGTGAACTTGCAAGTATGATGTCAGACACTGTAAAATGCTCTGGTCCCCTCCCTGCTTACCGTGGTGACGAGATACATAGCAGAATGTCATCACTCAATGGCTGGATGTCTAAATGGTGCCCGCAGAATAACATAGGTTTCATCGACAATTGGACGAGTTTTTGGGGCAGAACTGACCTGTTGAAAAGAGATGGTCTTCATCCCTCCTGGGGTAGTGCCACTCTTCTCTCTAGAAATATGGCACATAGTCTTAGAGTTTGCACTTGACTAACTGGGGCCCAGGTCAGGAAGCAGACAGAAGCAGACAGACAGGCTAAACCGACCGCCTGCTAGCTGTCATGGACCTTTTTTGTTATGTTTTGCCCCCGTTTCGGTTCCTGTGTTCCCTTATTTTGTCATGTTCCTGTCCTCATTTAGTTAATTAGTCATTCTGTGCACCTGTGTTTGGTAATTGTCCTGCGTTATAAGTTCTTGTCTGTACATTTCTTCTCTGTCGAGTCTACTTGTTGGATGTCGTGTGTTTCCCATGTTCCTGTTGTGGATTATCCCGTGATTCAAGTATTAAAGACTAGTGAACGTTTCTCCATTGTTCCTCCCACAGCAAATCGTTACCTCCGTATGTCTTTCGTCCATTTTTGTTTCAGTTTTTTCTCTCAGTGTTTTTGTTTCTGTTGTGTTTCCCCTTATGGATCCCTTCACCCGCCCAGAATTCCTCCTCCTCCTGCTGGAGCAGGGGGACTGATCTCTCGAGGACCATACAAGACTGTTCTGGCTGTTAGCTAGCACCACCAGCTACCCAGATGACATGTTGATGATAGACTGGGAAACAGATCTGGAGGTCGACTTGCCCCCTCTTCTCTCTCCTCCTGAGGGGGCTCCCATTTCCCAGTCCAGCCGGGAGTGGGCTCTGATCCCCGAGGGTAGCCCTGAGAGCCCGGAGGCCCACGCATACCCACCCGCCCGCCCACTACTGCCTCTTCCACCGCTGTCGTCTGGCAGTCCCTCTGCTCGCCCTCAGCCTACCATCAATATGGTGCGAGCGCCGCGGGTCTGCCATCCTCCCTCGTTGCCGTGGCTAGAGCATCCCTTACCTCCGAAGCCCGGACTCCGCCTCGGCCCGTAGACCCAGCGGCTCCGCCTCGGCTCCTAGCTCCCTCACCTCCACCGACACCCGTCGATCCACCAGCTTCACCGGGCTCCCTCGTCCCTCCGGCTCCGCCTTGGTCGGGCGTCGACCCTCCATCGCCTCAGGACTCTGCTCCCCCCGGATGCATCTCGTCGCTCTGTCCCACCGGATCCTCCCTCCCGCCAGCTCGACCTTGATCCTCAGTCGCTCCGGCTCCGCCACGGATCTCTGCCTCCGCCACCAGAACCCTTGGCTCCACCCTGGCCCCGCGGCATCCCACTGGCTTGTTGGCTCTCCGTTTTCCGCCTCGGGCTCTGCCACCGGCGGCCATTACTGCTCCATGGCTCCTCCCTCCATCGGCTCCACCGTGGGTCCACATCATGGCTGTGGCCTGGGTCCTGCTTGGCTCCTCCTGCACCAAGTTCTTCCTGTTTCCTCCCTCCATCGTCACCTCCCTGGTCTCTGTCTGCCGGCCCCCTCCCAGGTGTCCATCCTCCTCATGAGCCGCCTCCCAAGTTTCCACCCGTGCTCTGTTGTTCTACAGCGTGAGGACGCACCTTCCGGGAGGGGGACGATATGTCAGAATCATGGACCTGTTTTGTTATGGTTTGCCCCCGTTTCGGTTCCTGTGTTCCCTTATTTGGTCATGTTCCTGTCCTTGTTTAGTTAATTAGGACAATTACCAAACACAGGTGCACAGAATGATTGTGTTTATAAGTTCTTGTCTGTGCATTTCTCCTCTGTCAGGTCTACTTGTTGGATGTCGTGTGTTTCCCGTGTTTCTGTTGTGGATTATCCCCTGTGATTCAAGTATTAAAGACTATTGAACATTTCTCCGCATCTCCATCATTCCTCCCACAGTGAATCGTGGCACTAGCCTCCTCACGTCACAGAAATCAGTTAATTCTCAGCACATAGAGACACTTTCACCTAGATATCACACTATAGAGAGTGTTTCTGTTCCCCAAACTAGAAAATACAAAAACCGTCCAAACCAATTTAAGAGTAACAATTTAATTGATGTTCAACACATTAAAATATATATAATACAGAGAAACAAATGATAAAGCTTGGCTTATTGAATATCAGGTCCCTTTGTCCGAAAGCGCTTTCTGTAAATGATATGATCACTGATCATAACCTAGATGTGCTCTGTTTGACAGAAACCTGGCTAAAACCAGATGATTAGATTATTTTAAACGAGTCTACCCCACAAGATTACTGTTATAAACATGAGTCGTATCCAAAAGGTAAAGGGGGAGGTGTTATTTCAATTTATAACAATATTTTCAGTATTTCTCAGAGGGCGGGCTTCAAGTATAACTCGTTTGAAATAATGGTGCTTCATATAACATTATCCAAAGAAACAAGTGTCAATGATAAATCCCCTGTGATGTTTGTACTGGCTACTGTATACAGGCCACCAGGGCACCATACTGTACAGACTTTATTAAAGAATTAGCTGATTTTCTATCAGTTAGTGCTTGTGTAAACTCCATATAGCTAAAACTGTAAATTCTACTCCTTATTACAAGTATGGTAGAACCATCACTTCTACCACAAAAGACTGCTTTGTAAGTAATCTTCCTGATTTATCTAAATTCCTCAGCATATCCAGTAGCTCAGAAAAACTTGATGTAACAAAAACTATGGACTCTCTTTTCTAGCATTTTAGATACGGTTGCTCCTTTACGCTTAAGGAAGATTAAGGAAAACAGTTTGACACTGTGGTATGAGCACACTCGCGCCCTCAAGAGAGCAACCCGTAATGGAGCACAGCTGGAGGAAAACAAAACTAGTGGTATTTCATGTTGCATGGCGGGAAAGTACCCTATCCTACAGAAAAGCATTAAAAACTGCTAGATCTGATTACTTTTTGTCTCTTTTAGAAGAAAATAAATATAACCCCAGGTATTTATTCAATACAGTGGCTAAATTTATGAAAAATAAAGCATCAACAAGTGATGACATTTCCCAACTGCACAGCAGCAATGACTTTATGAACTACTTTACTTCTAAGATCGATACTATTAGAGATAAAATTGTAACCATGCAGCCGTCAACTATAGTATCGCATCAGATAGCTTGCTATAGATCGCCTGAGGAACAATTCCACTCATTCTCTACTATTGGAGAGGAAGAATTGTATAAACTTAAATATAA